GTCCTTCACTCACAAGCTAATTATCAAAGTGGGTGTGGTTCAATTAATAATATCTGTACGGTTACATACCATTATCTGTTCTCGGTTTGTCTTTAATTGATGAAGTAGTGTCTCTTGCTGGTAGAGAGAGAGAAGCAATGATAATTAATAAATAAATTATGACTTGTTATTAAACACGCATAAAATATATGTAGTTATGTACGTGTAAATTAAAAACAGTTGCTTTAATGTTAATAATTACAACTTACTTGCAGTTGAAGAAAAGGGATGCTTAGAAATTTGTGTAAATATCTAAGACCATAGCCATTCTTCATACAACTCTCAGCGTATCTTATATCAGCAGCTCCCTCCGGCCTGAGGAAATGAAAAGAAAATAAATATATACATTTTTCTTTCTTTCTCTCTCTCTCTCTCTCTACCTGTTCAAATGAGTAACGTAAAATTCAGCATCCTCCATTGAAACTGATCGATGCTCTCTCATATCTAAGTAGTTACCCTAGAAACAGCCACACCCACAAAATGGCGTCAAATAATCGCAGAAAACGTACGATAACGACAATCGGCAAATGTAGCGGAATGTGTTGTAATTCTCTCTCAATGTATTGCCAGGTCCTAAACAATGATGTCATATGACGTAATGTGATGTCATATGATGTAACGTGATGTCACATGACTCACCATTGTTTAGTGATGTCATACATTAAAACAACGCAGTGAGCTCCTTTATAGACGTCAAGAAAACTAGCATCAAGTGCCATGTCCTAAAATATACTAGAATATACTGGAATATACTATCAATAGCACCTGAGATGCATCAGCTTCATTGCTTAATTTTAATGGAACGTCTTTTCCTTTTTTTGTAGATCGACCTATAAATTATTTAATAAAATATTTTTGTCATTTCTTTCTCACCTTGATCAACGACATCCCATATTTCAACCTTTACCATGTCGTTTGTACCTATAAAAACAGCACAGAATGAGGCCACGCCTAATACTATTAAATCACACCCACATGGATATGTCCACTGTATGTGCCCAACTTGAATCTCATTGGTCGGTATGTACGACTCGGTAAACGGCTTTCCCTGCATCCGTCTAAATAGACAAGACTTCCCCGTATTACGATCACCACGGATCAAAACTTTCACTGAGAAAAAATTAACAAAATAGACTTTTAAAATCATTTTAATCCCGTGTTTCCCCTCACTGTTGTACTGTATCCCTTTGGAAAACTTCCTCTGTAG